AGCTGAGCAAAGAGCCCTGTACAGTGTTGCCCAAGAATGGGGAAAAAAGAGGGAATCCTTCTCCCATCCAGCAGCTAGAAGGGAAATGGGGACAGAGAGAAGAGAGAGCCCCTTGGTAGCTGGAGGGAGGCTGCTGGTGGTATTTGATGAGTAGCTTGTCCTATGACATTGCAAAACAGAATCCTCAGCTATCTGACGTAAAGCCACCAACACTCCAGAAGTGTCAGGCTGTCATGTGGCGGTGACTCTTCCATCCCCAGCACTGTTCAGGAGTGAGGCAGCTCCCCTGTCACTGACCTAGTGCAGACAAATCCTTGGGTGGGGGCGGTCTGCATACACTTTGCATCCACTAGGGGCAAGTACCCACTTCCCCAGCCCAGAGCTCCTCACGGAGGGGGTAGGTGACCGAGGGCAGAAGAGACTGTAGGCAAACATTCCAGGAGGGAGGGGCTGCCTTTCGCTTAGGGCCAGGCCTCCTTCCTCTTTCTGGTTTGCTGGCTGAACTCGTGGCTTCACCACAGAAAAGATACTAAGAAGTGGGCCGTGGGAGGCAGTGACCTTCCAGAACCGGCCCATACTCGGTGAACTCACACAAGGACTAACTCAGACAGCCCAATTATAGCCCTGAGCAGCAAGCTCACCCAGATGACCGTAACAGCAATGCCTCCTCCCATGGGCTAGGCACTGAAGGGCAGGGGGACTGTCCCCAGCACTAGCTGGAGAGGCTGGAGCAGTTTGTAAGGCCACTCTGTAAGGGATCCCAAAGGGCTAGGACACTGTTACAGAGACAGCGCTTCGCACGACCCTGAGCCCATGCCCACCTACAGCAGCACAATCCATAGTTCGGGCTACCTGGCTGGTTGCATCTCCGGGCTCCCACCCATCTCCTTTGATGGAAGCTCAGCAGGTAGGATCCAGTTAGGGAAAACATGCCAATGTAACGAGAACAATTTCACTTCTGCTTTTCCTGGACCATCAGGCTGGGACAGTGCGAGCGAGGGAGATTTCAGACACACCAGGAGGGAGATTCTAAAAGGAGGCTGCAAAGCAGGAAAGACTTTGCAAATTGCCTTCATGTCACTCTCCACTGAGGAAATCTCCCTCCCACCGAGATGCCGCACTGGCTGGGCTGTGGCAGGTTCTAGTCCCTACTGAGCCCCATCACAGAGGAAGGAAGTGCCAAGAACAAAAAACCCAGCACCTCTAATTAGAAATAGCTGTCGGGAGTTTTGCTGAGTCACACAGAACAAGCAAGCGGTATTAAGAGATAGTGGAAAGGAGTGGCAGCGGGGACCGCAATGGGTGCCAGTGTAAACGAGAAGGAAATAGTCTCCCTCTTCCATATATAGGGCACCCAGTGGGGCCCACTGAGTTCTGAGGAGGGAGAGCAAATGCATGGTATGGCAGGTTTTTCTGTCCCTAATGCACAGAACAAGCATCACCTTACCTAGAAATGCTTAGAAAACCTCAATCTCCCTCAGGGGGAGAAACAGGGTAAACTTAGAGGGAAAAGGTTCATGAGCTTCTTTTGCAAAGATCCTTCGACCCCAGAACATAGTGTAAGAGTCTCCCACTCGCCTCAGTTACTCAACCTCCAACACCACTCTCCCTCACCTGCTGCACAGGGGACAGGAGGCTCATTTAGGCTTTGTCTTCATGAGGAAAAAAAGGTGCATTCTCAACTCGAGTTAGCTAACACGGGATAAAATCCTAGAGAAGAGAAGGCAATTTGTGGTTTCACATGAGCTAGCAGGTTGAGTTAGACTATGGGGGAGCCTTGGATTTACCTTGACCTGTTCAAGTGCGTTAATACTACAACTGCCTTGTCTTCACTAGGATTTTACCTCATGCTTATTAACTTAAGAACTGAACAGAACACACCTTTTTCCTAGTGAATACACAGCTGTAGTGTCTGTGAAATGTTCAATGGCCACAGCACTATATAAGCCCTAGGGATTATGGGAAAACATTCCTCCCTCCCTGTCTTCCCCTTAGATGCTGTGCTTGGCACACTGAGCAACAGAGAACAAAGAATCTCCGGCCTTTGAAAGCTGCTTCTTGCATCTTTGTGAGGACTGGAGCAGGGTCGACATCTGAAAGAGCAGCTTCGGGTACAAAGGCAGCACCGAGACTTTTGCATGTGGTTGCAACCAGAGTCACCTTTAATACAGAAGTACGTCTAATGAAGACTAAAGGGCCCAGCATGCAATGTTCCAGCTCAATTCAAGTGACCATTCACTCAGATTGAAAGGGAGGCGTACTGGGGTCTGTAGACTCCCTGGGCTGCCCTTTCATATTAAAGGTGAAAGTGCCTGTAATTGGTTCCATTTTACATTGCCAGCGGGTATGACTCTTGGGTACCAGGTGAATTACTAACAAAGCTCTCAGTGGGGCACAGCAGGGCTGTCCTGGTTTAGAGTGCATGGAATGTACAACACTGAAGGCTTCTTCATGGGGCAGCGGAAGTTGGTGATGAATAAACCGGATGAAGGCCAAAGCAGCATACTGTGGAATGCATGGAGGAAAGTACAGCCCAGTATGTGGTTTAAATGAGGAACATTCCTAACCAAGAGGACACCCAAAATGCACATTTACACCTTCAAAAACACCTGTCAAAAAACAACAGCACCTGCAACTGGGGCTTTGTTTATCATGAAACACCCTCTGAAGTAACCATGCTCTGGATATGCACAGGGCAACCAGCCCTCTCTCCCTTACCTTCTCTTGCATGATAATCACAGCTCTTGGGAGCAGCCAGACTGCTTATAGAGCACCAGTGGTGTGTACACAGTGCTCTAAAGACAAATAAGCAAATACATCCCTGTCCTAAGGAGCTTCAAATGTAAATGAGATGGATAAATCCACAGACAACAACAGAGCCTGGTGGGTAAGGAGGGAAGCACAGTGGAATAGAGAACAGCATAATCCCATGGCCGATCTTGACATGACCACAGTACCCTTCTGGATCAAAGAGTCTGAACTGAACATGGAAACATGGGCTCAGCTCCATCCAATGAGATGGGCATAGATTCCCATTCATTAGGAAAGTCAGTTTGTCATGGCACATAAGGCAGTAGTTGCAGACATACAGACACAATGCAGGTGGCAGGGATTGGGAGGAGGTAGAGGGCAGCACCATCTTTAGAGCAAAGTGTCCTTTATTTTACAATAAATCATTTAATGACAATTCATGAATAATTTAACCCTTTTCCAAACCCCATTCACTCTGCAGTACTCTGCAGCACCAGACGTGTAGAGCTCGACTTGTAAACGTTCCTGGGTGTTACAATCAGTGCCAGGCTGGCTGGGGTGACAAAGACTAGAACTGAGGAAACCTGAAAAGCAATGTTTTTTGTCACAGCAACCCTGGCAGCGACAGAGTGGAAAATGAATGTGTCTGCGCTCAAGCACAACACCCATGATGCTAATGAGCGTTTCTCTTTGGCTTCCTGAGTCCAGGAAGGAGTAACCTGGCAGCAAGAGAGCTGCAGTCTCAGTACCACAGGAGCAGAGTCCCCTACTCACCCGGCCCTGCTCAGCATGTCTTATTGCTTTCAGGACTCCGCTCCTGCAGCATCTGCAGATTATCTGGGGAGCGTGAGCACCAATGATGAGAGTGTTACTGGTTAGAACAGTGACTGGGAGCTCTTTGCCTTGATGGCTTCCATAGGGGGGCCCAGCTGTCCCTGGAGCTGGACAGCCAGATTGCACTCTCCTATCATTGTGGAAGATGTCACTGCAGGTTTATGACAGTTCAGAAATTGTGGCTTGGCTGTCCTAGTTCAAGCTCTGAGGATGTCCATCTGCCTGCACGCTGACCTGAAAAGCTTAGGAGTTTTGTCTTAAAAGCAGACAGAGAGGCTGAGAATTTTCAACTCAGGTTCTTTTTGTTGAGGTAGATTCATTCCTATCACAATGGCCAAGAACATGGCAAGCTGCCCTCAGGCACACTCTGCACTGCTCAGAGCCATTTAGAAGTGTCAACTCAGCACAAAGATTTGGATGAAAGTTCAAGGGACAGGAGTGTCAACAAAGGGGAGAGTCACATTTTTAAACAATATCCTGGGATTCTACAGAAATCACCCTCTCCCCCTTCCCCACAAGGCCATTTTTGATACTGTAAGCTGTTGTGTTTGGGGCCATTACAGAAGAATACACTACGGGTTTGTCCACACTACAAGTGCTACAGCCAAACAGCTGCAGCAATGGAATGGAAGAGCCTTGGTGATGGAAGCGTTTTTCTATTGCTGCGGTAAATCCTCTCCCTTGAGAGGTAGTTGCTAGGTTGATGGAAGAATTTTTCTGAGAATCTAGCAATGTCTACATCAGGGCTTAGCTCAGTTTAACTACATCTCCCAGGGTGTGAACTTTTCACACTTCTGAGCGCTGAAGCTAGGTTGACCTAAGTTTTAGGTGTAGACCAGGCCTAACACGTCTTTACAAGGGGCATTTCACATGACTCTGCAGCCCTCATATTGCAGGGGGGAAAGCAGAGGTGGGGGGCTTCTTGTTTACTAGGTTGACAAGTAACAAGTATTTAGTTCGCCTATTGAAAGGCTGGGTGACAACTCCTGGACAATGCTGAACAACAGTTCTGTAGAATAACAATTCTGTTGCTGTGGAGATAACGATCTGCTCACAAACAGGAGAGGATGGGTTCAGCCCTGAGCGATGGAAGAAGCAGGAGGGGGAGATCCATTCAAAGAGCACCAGCCTTGTTTCAGGGCAGGAAACCCATCAGGGAATTCTTTCTAACTACAACAAAACATTTCCAAGTCTCCCACAATGAGCAGTTATTCCTTGCACACAAAAAAAAACAGTATGGAGAGATAGCCCATGGAGGCTACAGCATGTGTCTAGGCTGCTTGCCTCAAGAGGGAGCACAGCATATTGATTTGATTTTGAATGTTTTATTGTCTTGTTTGTGAAACCTTTAATGTATTAGTGAGGGGCAGGTGCCTAAAATACAATAAATATTATTCTCCCTCTCCTGTCCTGTACTATACTTCTGTAACTCGGTCTATTGCTATCTGTTCAGTTCTCTTTTCCTTATTTGGATGATAAGGAATGGGGTCCACCCTGTTGCTTCTGAATCCCAGATACTTTGACAGCTTCTGACTCTTTTTCAGACGACAGCATATCCCACAGCTGAGAAACAGAAAACAAAGAGTGATCACCACCACCATCAATACCATCAGGTAGCGATTTCCTATCTGATGAGGACAAAGCCACGTGGTCTTGTTGGCTATCTTAGCTGAGAAGTTCCTGTTCTTGTCCTGATAAGAGCACAGAGTTTCATTCAGATCCAACACACTCACATGGGCAGCTTGTAGAATTTCCAGCCAGCTCAGTGCACAACAGCTAAAGGGATTGCCAGCAACATTCAGCTGATTGAGGCTGCTGGACCATCTCACGGTGGCAGGTTTCTCTAAGGCCTGGAGATTGTTATTGCGAATGTCCAGATTTTCCAGTGGAGAGCAGACAAGATCAGGGGGCAAAAGACTCAACTTGTTGTCTGACACGTCCAACTTTTTCAGCATCTTCAGACAAGGGAACTCTGTCTTGTTGTTGTCCATCTGATTTCCTCTCAGAGAGAGCTTCTGCAAAGAGAATTCCAGACCCTCCAGAGCTCCTTTTGGCATGAACAAGTCTTCATTCTCAGACAGATCCAGGGAGACCAAAGAGGTTTGGTTGAACATGTAAGGATATAGCCTCACAATGTTGTTCCTACGTAAACTCAGATACTTCAGCTGCGGTATGTCACAGAAGGATGTACAGTTACCTCTTTGAGCTGAGTTATGACCTATTGGGATCTCTCTTTTATTAGCATTCTGGCTCTCACAAGGCTGGAGGCTGTTAGAACCAAGGTCAAGTGTTTCCAGTTTGGGCAGAATACCAAAAAACCACTTTGGCAAGGAATGAATGAAATTGCCTTGAAGATCCAGTGATCGCACCGACAGAAAGGCATTGTCATGTATCACGCCTGGCTCCTTGCTTTCCATATCACCAGGAGATGACTCCACAGCTATATTATGGAGACAGTTCTTAGCCATATTGAGATTCTGGAGGGAGCTCAGATTGTGAAGGAAAGTAACTGGGAACAAATACAACAGGTTACTGCTGAGATCTAAGTCAGTTATCTTTGACAGTCTAGCTGCTGCATTGTAAATATTCAAGGATATGTTAGGTCTTGCCATCTCATCATACTGCAGTCTGAACTCTGTTGTATTGGTGGAACTTGGAGCCAAAGAGACCATGGCGTTATCAGAGAGGTTTAAGTGTGTGAGGCGATGCACCTTGGGGAGCTCTGGAAAGTAGATCAGTTTGTTATGACTCAGATCTAGCACCTGAAGCTGGTAGTGTTCCTTTCTCTCCTCCGTAACAAAGAACTCCAGGGCATTGTAACTGAGATTTAAAACTTGCAGCTGTGTGAGGCTGAAGCCCGAGATACAGTGAAGGGAATTCATGGCTAAATTCACCACTTTTAGATTTAATAGAGCTTCAAAAGCTCCTTCCTCTATTTCCGTGATGTAGTTATTGTTAAGGTTGATCTCTCTCAGCTTTAGAGTTCCCTGGAAGATGCTCCCTGGCAGCCTGGTCATCTTGTTCCAGGACAGATCCAGTTTCTTTAAAGAGGTGAGTTTGCTGAAGTACCAGGCTGCCATATCACTGTCCAAATTATTTGCAGAAAGGTCCAGGACCTTTAGATTCCTCAGTGACCCGAAGGCTCTTCCATTGGTGAAGTAATTCCTATCAAGGTGGTTTGCAGCTAGGAGCAGAGAGTGAAGATGAGTTAGATGAGTCAGGGCCATTTCTGACACAGTTGCCAATTGGTTGAAATGCATGTTGAGGTGCTCTAGCTGCCCTAACTTTGATGTGCAGCTTTCCGTCAGGTTTTGGATGAAGTTGTCAGAGAGGTCGAGCTGCTTAACCCCATGGCCAAGCTTCTTTGGAAATGTGCGGAGGCCAAGACCTTGGCATGAGACCTGAACTGAGCTCTATGGAGAAACAAGGAAAGCCATCAATGAGAGTGAAGGAGCTCAGCCCACACCTCATTTCAGACGTGGCTCCACTCCTATCACACACACACCTTACTGCTGTTTGGAATTTATACTAGAAATTCTCAGACACAAGCATGCACCCCCCCTTAAGCAAGTACTTTGGCCGTGGCGGGCTGAGATCAAGGCATAAGCTCCTTCACACACAGTTTCTAGCATAATCACAAATCCAACCTTGTGGGTGGGAAGCTCTTTCAGAGCTGTAGGGGGTTGTGACCTGGCTCTCTGAGGTACAGTGGGGGCTGGAACTCAGAGCCATCCCTTGGGTATGGCGAATCGGGGTGACCGTTCTGGGCCGCATGCTTTGGGGGCCCCTGCGGACCGGACCGATTGGCCGGTGAGGTCAGTCCCGGAAGTGACAGATTCGTCACTTCTGCCCCGGGCCCCGCACCCCTCTAGGGAGGGTCCTGCTGGCACTATTACCTTCAGAGAAGCCCCTGAAGAAGGCCAGGTTATTGGTGTGTGCTGCTGAAGCCCTCCAGCCTGGGTGACACAGATGCACCTAGGCTGGGCCAGCAGATCACAGCTTAGACTCAATGAAGGAACCACACAGCACCTCTGCTCCCTCTCCTGAACAAAAATAAGGCACGAGGGAGGCAGACAGCTCCCAACTGCTAGATCACCACTGTTCATTGGCTGCTCTCAGGTACCATCATCACTGACCAATCATCCTTTTCCCTCTACCAGCAAGGGTCTGTGCCACACTCACTGGGCTGCAGAAGGGTATGAGACTGCGTGGAGTCTGCCAGCTGCATCCCAGAGCCTAGGCTGCAGTGGGGTGCGTGTCCTGATGGCTCCACTTTGCCATGCACCACTCCCCCAAGCACAGCCCTCAGACAGGCACATATTCAAGGAGGGGACAGGGAAGTAAGAATAGTTCCCATTGGGACCTGCCTAGTCATTTCTTATCCCACAATGAGAAACCTCAATCCTCTGGCAGCCACAATCCTCCCTCAAGTTTCAAGTGATCCATCCCACCTCCTCTAACCACAGCCTATCACTTAGTGAGCAGGAAAAGACCCCGCCAGGGGGTGTGATCAAGCAGGAGGCAGTGCCATGACCTCTGTCCCTTGTTTTAAATAGTTTGTCATTCACTTGAGTGACTGGCTGGGAGCTAGATCCAGCTTTAGCGCCTGGCCATGAAGAAAAAAAGATGCCTAGGAGTTAGTGCTCTGGGTTTGATTTCAGGCCCATGTTCCCTTGCTCTCCAGGCCAAGACAGCCAGGGAGTAGAAGCTGGGTAGGTATAAGGGGAGGAGAAAGCCATCGTTCTCATTGCTTTTAGGGGCCCAAATGGTCTCCTCCTCTCTCTGCTCTGTCCCCCACGTTCTAATTCTATAGATCTGGTGTTTCACCAACTGGTCCCCAAAGGGGAGCCACCCTGGAGATCAGTCACAGAAAAGCGGGGGAGGAACAGACAATACAGGGTGACAAGATGTGTCCAAGGTATCTAGCATTTCCTGGCCTGGACATACAAGTGCTGTGTAGAGCCTCACTCACACACATGGTATCCAAAAAGCTGCTCAAGACAGAGTCTGTCTGAAGATGAGGGGTAACGATATCACAGGGTGACAAAATGAAAGCACCTGGGTACAAGGCTAATGGTCAAAGTGGGGAGATTACAAGGCAGAGGTGGGGGGGAGAGAGGCTTGAAGAGAAGGTCTGAAAGTCCTTGCAGCAGAGAGAGACAAGAAAGTGTAAGAGGGGACATTAAAAAGACAGGCTATTAAAGGGGCGGCTGCTAGGCTGAGGTGGTCAGAGTTTTGGGGAAGATTTTCGAAATCTGGTTTTAAACTTTCATTTGCCCCCTTCAGTATCACAGCAGGGTATGAGCACAACCAGCACTTCCTGTCTCAGACCCACCGGGGGCATCGTTTGGCTATTAAATCACAAAGGATCCTGGGCAATTAGCCTTACCTGCTGGCATGGCAGAGGCTTTGGGCTCACCTCCGCACTAGGCTGGGCTTTGAGAACAGATGGGAGCAGCCAGAGCAGCAAATATCCTCTTTCAGCCAGCCGGTGTTCTGACAGAAACATGATGCGCTCCAGGAGCAAGCAGCCCCTTCCCACTGCTTCAGTGCTTTCATATGGGCTAAGGGAGAGGAAGACTTCTATATAAATAGGCTCCAGTGCGGGCTTGGGGAAGGAGATAGTGTGTGGGAGTCCCAGCTACAGTACTGGGAAAATAAAGATATACGCCTCTGACGGGGAAAAACAGTGCATGAAGCCACAAAGGAAAGAGAAACTAGGGAACGGGGGTGGAGATGCCACTGCACATGCTTCCAGGTGATTATTTGAAACTATAAAGGAAATAAATATTAGAGAATGGAGCAGACAAGGCCCAGGGAAAGAGAGGAGTTTTTGTGGGGATTCCCCAGTTTGGAAACCACATTGTTGTCCAAAGGGTTTGTCCTAGGGTCTTATCTGCAGCCACTTCCTGCTGTGCTCTGGGTCAGAACTCATAGCTAAGCCTGGTTAGCTTGGATAAGGGATCCCAAGCGAACAATTTGACACTGTAGGAAATGCTGGGCTCAGGCTAGCACCTAAGACCAGATGGTGCCACCAGGCAAAATGTAAACTGGAAGAGTAGGGCCCCCTTTGCTGCCCAAGCTGGAATAGTCACAAGGTGGGAGGTGCTGGACATCTGAGGGGAATTGAATCCCTTGCTGTGGTGATAAACAGCACTGGGGTCCTTGTTCAGCACAACTGGCCATGCCTTCCTCCATGAGGTGGGGGAGACAAGGCTGGAGTGAGCCTGGAGAGGGAATTCCCTTCTCCTTCTCTGGGCTACTGCAGCTCACGCAGAGGGAAATTTTACAATAATACCTGACCCTTTGCTGGGGAGCGAATGCACCAAGGGTTTTACCATCCAGCTCCCATGAGTGAGTCACCCAGCATAGTCCTGAGGTGAAGTCCAGCTCACACCCTCACTAGGGGTTTCCTGCACCTGGAGTATCCCATGGGCTCCACTGGTGCTTCTGCTAGGGGGTGCCCAGTCTCCCACAGCCCATGGGCTGCTTCTATTCCCAAGATCAGAGAAGACTCCCAAAGGGATGGAGCCTCCCTGAGCTACATCAAAAGAGAGGCGAGGGCAGAAGAGATGGGCTCAGAGAGGTGGCCTCTGTTTAAACCCCTGGCATTCCACCTCCCCTCCTGCCCCCCAGACAGTAACAAATGTACCAAAAGGGGAACATGCCCAACCCAACCACACAGCTCTGAGCAGCAGCCAGCAAGAGGCTTTCACTTCCAGTGTAGGGCGCAGTGCAGAGAGAACAGAAGCCATCACTGGGGTGAGTGAACAATGAGTCGGTAGTCTTAGTCCAGGGCTCAGCAAATAGGTGTTCACAACATCCCTTCACCCCCAGTTAGCCCCGAACTGAATGGGCCACAGAGACTGACCACCTGTCTTTCCCTGGCGGGGCTTAGTATAGGATGGAACAGGCACGGGCTGGAGCCAGGGGTATATGTGGGTGATGGGAGGGGGAACTTGTGCTGCCACTGCCCATTATCACCATGCCCTCCTCCTGGGAGCCTGATGGTGCGAAGCATGGCTGGAAGATGATTGCCTGGTATTTACACTGCACTGGGGGAGAAAGAGGAGAGAGAGGGGATTTTCCTATGACAGCCTCATATTTAGGGTGACCAGATGTCCCGTTTTTATAGGGACAGTCCCATTTTTAGGGACTTTTTCTTATATAGGCACCTATTACCCCACCCTCCCACCCTCTGTCCCATTTTTTCACAGTTGCTATCTGGTCACCATACTCATATTAGCTCCCGTAGTACCAGCATATATCAAAAAAGATTTTTTCTGTAGTCACATATCCAGGGCCACTCTGCCACCTACTGGTCGGTCCGTACATATCACAACAAGAATGTTTGGCTGCTGGGACAGTTCATGGGATATTTTGCTAAGTGGACTTTTTTGTTGGTTTGGCTCAATGCTGTTGACTCTTCATTCCTTTCCTGCAGCAGGCAGCACTGCCACTGCCACTGCCCAGTTTGCACAAGAGCTTATTTTGCAGCCATTGTTTTAGATGTTTCCTAATAGGCTATTTCCCCAGCTCCTGGTGTCTTTGGTGAAGGAATATGGTGTAGTCTTAAAAGGAGGTGGAGCACAGTGGAGCTGAGCTGAGCTGGGCCTGCATGTTAGATTTTTCCATCCTCTTGCTGGTTTACATTGTGGGAAAGCTCTTTGTTTCTTATGGTTCAGGGCTCAAGCAAAATGCAGTGCTGAGGGTCACATGCATCTCAGTGAATAAACAGGTCTCTTATGAGTGAGTAGAAAATCCTGTGGAAGTTCTAGTCTCTAGACTGGAAAACCAGGTACAATGCTTTAAACCCATCTTCTTTGTCAGTCCTCACTGGGTGCAGGGCCCCTGAAGGCATCAGCTCTTCTAAACCTTGCTTGTTCATATTGGTTCTATTGAAGGCCTGGGTTCAAGGCCATGAAGGCAAACACAGACCTTAGAGAGAACAAGCCTTTATTGTTCTTTAGAAACAATCAAAATATGTCACAAAACGTGTACAGCTCAAAAACGTGGAATCTCCATCTAGGGAGACACTGGCCTGCAGCTCTCAAGCTCACCTCCTCCATCCAGCTTCACCACCCCTAGCAAGGAGCAGAGGAGGGGGAAGGGAGTACAGGGAAGGGAACAAAGTTAACCTCTCTGGTTATGGGTGACATAACTCCCTAGCACAAGACCCAGGCTCTGTGCATCCCCTAGCCTTTTTCCACATCTCCAGAGTGTCAGATGGGGGAACCCAAACAAACTCCTCTGTGCACTT